GTAAAACTCTTAGAACTTAAAACCCTACATCCTAAGCGATGAACCCCATGACAAAACAGTAGTAGAACAAGCATAGGGCCGGGACCGTATCATGTAGCTTCCCTCGAAGCACCCCGAAAAAAGACCAAATACCACGCACAAGGCGCTGGTAGTTTCCAATGGTCTTTCCATCCGAACCGACGACGTTGACCTCGGCCCTATTCCTTAAACCTTAGTTGCTGAGTTCATAAGCCCCAAATAGGGGGTTCTAGTATCCCAGAAAGTGTAAAGTGTGCTCACTCAGCTACTAGGAAACAGACAATATGACCCGTTTTGTAGAGGGCTTCATGTTTTGATGAAGCTAGCAACAGCATTCCTATGAAAGTTCCTAATCTGTTTATAGCCTAGCGTTCCTAATCTGTTTATAGCCTAGCCCCTCAAAAACCCTTGCCTAGCTGTTCAAGCCCTGAACCCTCTATGCTTAACGTCTGGGGTTTGGGGGGTTTAGGGTTTAGGTAGGCTGGGACCCTAAACCCTAAACCCTAAACTTTCTGCAAAGCAGTTCAGCTCGTTCTTCTTTCGGTGTTGGGGATTTTCTTGTCGGCCGCATTGTTTGGTTTTGGGTTTTCAGGTCTTGGGCCTTTTCTCCCCTCTACATAATTCTATACATGTCTGAGCATTTCTATATAGATATACATACATATAATAAATACATATATATATATATATAGATGTATATAAATATACATATATACTTTAGGGTTTAGGGCTTGGGGGCTCGGAGCCCGCCAGCGGGGGAATGGATGACCTGCTGGGATGTGGGCAGACTCTTGCGTCTGTCTCTGTCCGGGAACATCCCCGAAACCCTGAACCCTAAACCCTAAACCCTAAACCCTAAACCCTGAACCCTAAGCCCCGCAAGGAGTTTCCAGGACTCCGGGTTGCTGCGCTTCGTTTCAGGAACCCCAAAAACACAGCGTAAGGCCTCAACTTGGGTTCCTGAACCCCGAAACTCTCCATTTTGAGAGCATTTAAGAGACTCCAGCCCCCGAAGGCGAAAAGAGAAGTAAGCAGTGACAGATGAAGATGGTTGTGAAAATTGAGATAGGAAAAAAAGGTTGGGAGTAACTTACTTAATGGAGCTTTGAACAAGGATCTTAGTATTTGGTGCCGAAACAAATGTTTTCGGATGACATTACTTGACCAGACTCACTGCTAAACCCTATGCCGTCTACACCTTTAAAGAACCCAAAGCCCAAATACAACCTTGCAGCCTAAAAACCCTAGACCCTAGACCCTAAACCCTAAACCCTAAACCCGAAGCCCTAAACCCTAAGCCCTAAGCCCTAAACCCAAAACCCGAAACCCTAAGCCCCAGTGAAATCGAGGAGCGCCGCTGCTGGGCAGCGGCTGGCTGGCAGGGCCGTCCTCGCCTTGTAGCCCACAGCTTGGCTCATTGGGCTTTAGGCTTTCTGGTTTAGTGTTTAGGGTTTAGGATTTAGGGTTTAGGGTGTCGGGTTAAGGGTTTAGGGTTTAGGGATTGGGGTTTCGAGTTAGGGTTTTGGGCTTCGGGTCTTTTGGGGGTTTGGGGCTGCAGGTTTCGGGGTGCGAGTGTTGAGTCTAGGGCTTAAGGGTGTTTCATTTGAACGACGTAGGCTTCAGGGTTGTAGGATTTGGGGTGTTCGGACGCTCCAAAGGTGTGAGCATTAGGAAATTCAAGGGACCCCGAAGATTGACCTAAATACAAGGATCCTCATTTTCAGGTCCCTTGACTGCAGCATACATGTATATCCCTAGTTTCACAAACCCCCACGCTGGGGTTTTTCTTAGGGTTTCGACTGAAGGAACCTTTAAGAGGAATCCTGGTTTGAAGGAACCTCCCGGCAAAGATCTAAGTTTGACAAGGAAGTGCAACCCAGAAAGCCCAAAACCCCTTAATCCGCCGAGGCCCGAGGCCTGAGGTGTTTAGATCCAGGTCAAGGGAACCTTTCATAGTTCTCCCAGGCCCACCCCCCACCACTCACGCCCACCCTCTCCAAGCCCCCCACCCCCCGCACCTGCCGGCACCCCCACGCCCCTTAGCAACCTTTTGAGGAATGACCTCCTACAGCATCCTGCAACACCCTACCCCCAAACCCCCCCTTACTTCTCGTGAACCCTTAATTCGTTTCGGGGCCGCGTTAGCGGTGTAAATTAAGGAAGATACCTTCAAGCAATCCTTAGTATGATTTAAGACAAATTCCTTAATTAAGGGATACTGGGCTCTTTGGGAATAGATCGAGATTTAAGCTTTTGGCACGTCACTCAGAGGATTGGAGTCGGGAATGTCGGGCTTCGGGGTTTCGGGTCTGGGGGTTGAGCTTAAGGGTTCCTGGGCAGGGCTTCGGTTCGCGGCGTAATAAAGTCTAGGGTTTAGGGTTTAGGGTTTAGGGTTTAGGGTTTAGGGTTTAGGGTCGACTCCTCCTGCAGGTTCAAAACGAAGGAGTGAGAAAACCACTACCAACTAGTTGCGCAGCCTCTGGCTTTTTGAAGCACATATGGGAAGAGCGGTTTAGGGTTTAAGGCTTAGGGTTTAGGGCTTAGGGCTTAGGGTTTAGGGTTTAGGGTCCGCCGACCCTGGCGGCGTGTCCTCAGCCCCCCAAAAACCTCGAAACGCGGGGGCCACCCCCCCCTTTTTTCCTGGTACACTTTTTGCAGCTGAGCTTCGTGTGCTGGTCGCAGCTTTTGAAGTGCACCCGCCCATGAAGCGCGCGAAAGGCAGGGCCCACGAGGCGGCGTGACAAAATAAGATCAAGAGACCCTTGGGGTTTAGGGTTTAGGGTTTAGGGTTTAGGGTTTAGGGTTTAGGGTTTAGGGTTTAGGGTTTAGGGTTTAGGGTTTAGGGTTTAGGGTTTAGGGTTTAGGGGTCAAGATGACTTGGCTGCTTGAGGATCAGAAGCGTGGCAGCCACTCAACCAAACCACAGAAACCAAGGCATAGATTCAGCAAGCGCCTCAGGGGGAGAGAGACAGAGAGAGCTAAAATCCCAAAAAACAATTATATACATATACATATATATATACATATACATATCTGTTGGGCTCAACAAGTCAGGTTGGGATGCACGTTTCTGGAACCTCAAGTCAGAAACCACTTTCTCATCACTGCCACTCAGATCCCATGCCAGCGCATGTTGCCCCGAGCCCCTCAACTCGAACCTCAGGCCCGAGAACCCAACAAACACAAACAAAGACTCAGACCCTATTTAGGGTTTAGGGTTTAGGGTTTAGGGTTTAGGGTTTAGGGTTTAGGGTTTAGGGTTTAGGGTTTAAGGGGGCCCTAAACCCTAAACCCGAAACCACCTAAGCCCCAGCAGCCTGAACCAACTCCCCCCAAAACCTCAAAGGTTCAGAGCCTCAAGCCCTTTGGGGTTTGGGGTTTAGGGTTTAGGGTTTAGGGTTTAGGGTTTAGGGTTTAGGGTTTAGGGTTTAGGGTTTTAGGGTTTAGGGTTTAGGGTTTAGGGCTTAGGGCTTAGGGCTTAGGGCTTTCTGAACACCCAAACGGGTGAAACAAATCGCAGGGAACCCCTGCGTCAGCTTCTATTCGTTTGTTGCTGCAGAAGATCGTCGATCAAACAATCAGAATGCACAAGCTCTCTCAAGATTTCCGAACATACATACGAGTCGGGAATCTCTTCTTCTGGGGTTCCGTATGTTAGGGATTCTGTCCGTCGGTGTCCACAGTGGGTCTCTCATTTTCGAAATTCCCTGTTTGAGCCCTCAACCCTAAAACAACACCCAAGACCGCTATTCGCGTCCCAAATCTGAGGCCCTGTGCACTGACACACACATCACATTTGTCTGGCTGCACCAGTCGAGCAAGCTGAAATATCATGAGCGGAACGGGTGTGGCAGGCGTGGTACGCCACGGATTTGAGGAGTCCAGCAGCCTGCTCCGTGTCTTCAGCTAAAGGTGGCAAAGGTTTGGGTTTAGAGTTTAGGGTTTAGGGTTTAGGGTTTAGGGTTTAGGGTTTAGGGTTTAGGGTTTAGGGTTTAGGGTTTAGGGTTTAGGGTTCAGGGTTTAGGGTTTAGGCTTTACGGTTTAGGGTTCGGGTTTAGGGTTTAGGGTCTGGGAGCTGTGCATGCCTGGCTGCCGGTACCAATCAAACAAGCGCTGCAGTGGACTTCTTCCCTCGAATCATGGGTTCCCCTACTATCCCCCTCTATACTAAAGGGGCATCCTTGGGGATATAGACAGCCAGAAGAGGGTTAAGAAGGGTTCCCTTTTAAGGGTCCCCCTTATCCTACCTAGGATACTACCCCCCCCCTAGGTTCCCCCATAACTAAGACAATGTAGGGATCATTCAGCCTAATTCAAGAGGGGAACCGAGGGGGGTTAGTATAGAGGGGGGTAGTAGGGCAACCCATGATCAAATGAAGCTACTGTGCAAGACTGGGGGAATCGCGCAACCGCACTACATAGCTTGGGATGTTCCCCCTTATACGAACAGCCCTTAGTAGGGATTGTAATCAGGAGTGGTACTAGAATACCTTCTAAGGACTGTTAGTATAAGAGGGAACATTCCAATATGTAGCACTGGTGTCGGTCACACAAGTTTAAGCGTCCGGAGCAGAACAAGGGTTTCCTGATGCCATGCCAGGCAGGGCCCCGTGGCAAAGCCCCAAGCAAGGAAAGAAAGCTACGCTCCCAACCCTACTTCTGAGGGCGGCGAAACAACACAAACTTATATGGCATGCTGCATAGTATAGTTTCGTGTCGTATCCTTTCGTTCCATATCGCATCGTCATAAGGCTGGGATCAGGAGTCCCTGTTTCATGCCGAGCTGAACTGGATCCTAAACCCTAAGCCCTAAACAAAGTAATCAGACTAAAGCTGAATAGGCCACTTCATACAGCCCGTCAGCCTCCCAGCGTGGGCAGCTGGCCCTACTAAGCCACACCATAAGATGAAGGTTGTGGGTTGTATATGTAGGATACTATATAGAACACTATATAGTCGACATGAGTACACTTTAGTAAGGTCGACAGGCTTGAGATGAGGGTGTTGAGCTATATCTAGCTTTTCTATACTTGTCTCCGTACATACCTAGAACTACTATGGCACATACTGCGTTCCCATCTTGTCCTGTGCTGCGCCGAACCTTCTCAAGTAATTAAAGTCGAACAAGAGAACAAGATTTCATTTCACCGTACAGTCAGTTGCGGGTTCAGGGGTCAGGGTTTAGGGTTTAGGGCTTAGGGTTTGGGGTTTGGGGTTTAGGGAGTTCACGATACCAAGTTCAGCACAGTGAAGGCACCCAAGTCAAGGCTTTGCTGCCGCAGGCCGGCCTGATGCCCTGCCGCTCTCTGACAAGCTGCGCTTCTTCGCAACCTGGGCGATCTCCACATCCGGACCCTAAACCCCTAAGCCCCTAAAATCTGAACCCTGAACCCTGAACCCATAACTTGAAACCCTGAACCCTCATTTCAAAAGAGGCATGGGATGGCTGCTGCGCACGTGTGGGAGTGGTTGCTGCTTCATCGCTCTAATCCTGCACTGCCAGGTCTCTTTTTCTCAACTTGGCATCCCTGCTTGATCCTTCAGGTATTCAGCACAAAGGATGGACATGATTTCTGACGAGTCCCGGTTGTGAATGAAGGCAGCCACATTCTGTTTCGCGACATCATAGGGCGCCTCCCCATACCTGGACTCCATGTGTACATCTGCCCTGGCCCTCAGCAAAAGAAAGATCATCTCAATGTTCCCCCGCATGGCGGCATAGTGTAAGGGCGTCTCCTGCATGGAATCTGTTGCGTTAACCAGACAGCCGTGGGCCAGCATCTTCTCCGCCAGCTCAACAGAGTCAGCGGCCACTGCCTCATGCAGACTGGACTGGCCCAAACTGGACTTCGCCATCAGGGAATTGATGCTGAATCCCCTGAGACAGCACAGCTCATCCAAGTTGGTCCTGGTCAAAGAGTCAGGGGACGAAGCACCGAAAGGTACCAAGTGACAGGCTGCCCAACGCTTCATGCGTCTCTGTAGCTTGGCTTGACCACAGGCTGCCGGGCCATCATTGATGAAGAGGAGGATGTCTTTGGCACACTCTTCCCGGGAGCAGGCGACCTTGTTCACGTCGATGTGGTACATGGTCTCGGTGACCCATGGGTCCAGGCTGCCATATTTGGAGGTGCCGTTCGGGAAGAGCCTGGTGCAGGCCATGATCCCCGACTTGCAAGCCACGTAGATATCCTGGCCTGCCCTGGTGGCACACTCCAAGCTGTACAACCGCCATGCCCGGGACATGCTGAAAGGCTCGGGTGCACCGCTCTCGGGACTCTTGGTCCCAGCCTGGGTTCCGGCCGAGATGATGAAACTGTGACACTCCACCTGCGCTTTATCCATCCTCAGCTTCTTCCCGTCATAGCAGCACTTGTGCAGATCCGTGGTGACGTCATGCTGGTTGTAGCCCATGAGGTTGAACCAAAGAACGGCAGTGTCTGGCAAGGCGATGGCCTCCGCGAACCACTCCAGGGAAGACATCACCTAGACCCAGGAGTCGCCTAGGAATAAAAAGTGGCACCCCCTTTTTTGAAGCTTTAAGGGGATGATAGAGAAGAACCCCAGCCCTAAAAAAAAGGAAGTAAGGGCCTCCGAGTCCTAGTAGCCCTAAACCCTAAACCCTACACCCTAAACCCTAGACAGGGTACTACTGAGCATCCATGTCACATCTGCGAAGTACTGGCCAAACTGGTAGTTGACGCAGTACTGGGGGATCTGCGGCCCATCTGCGATGAGCTCCACATACGAACAGTTCCGCTGCATCGTCTCCTTCTTGATCACCATGTCGCAGATGTCCTAAACCCTAAACCCTAAACCCTAAACCCTAAACCCTAAACCCTAAACCCTAAACCCTAAACCCTATTCTGATGTCCTGTACCGTGAGCTCCTCCCATGGGATGTCCAGGTGCGCCTTCTGCATCTGCCGCCGCGCCTTCCGGCTGAAGGTGCGCAGCTGTCCCAGGGTGATTCCTAGTAGCGGGTTTAGGGTTGAGGGTTTAGGGTTTAGGGTTTTGAGTTTTGGGTTTTAGGGTTTAGGGTTTGTTTAGGGTTGAACTTGGGACTTTTAGTGTGCTCAAGTCCAAGCATGTCACTAGTACAGCTCCTTACTCCGATATCGAATATCGACCCACCCACTCATTGGATCCCGTAACATTATGAAAATAATTACTGTTTCGTTTTACCCTTCAAACTTTAGGCTGAATAGGCGGCCACCCAGAGTAGGCCCTAAACCCTACAGCCAACCCAGAAAAGGCTAAACCCCAAAGCCAGCCCAGAGTAGGCCCTCCACCCTATAACCGGCCCAGACTAAGCCCTAACCCGAAAACCAACACAAACAAAGGCCCAGAGTAAGCCGTAAACCCTAAAACCAGCCCAGAGCAGGCCCCAAACCCTAAAGCCAGCCAGAGTAGACCCCAAACCCTAAAGTCAGCCCAGAGTAGGCCTTAAACCCTGAAACCAGCCCAAAGTAGCCCGAAAGCCTAAACCCAGCCCAGAGTAGGCCCTAAACCCTAAAACCAGCCCAGAGCAGGCCCCAAACCCTAAAGCCAACCAGAGTAGGCCCTAAACCCTAAAGTCAGCCCAGAGTAGGCCTTAAACCCTGAAACCAGCCCAAAGTAGCCCTACAGCCTAAACCCAGCCCAGAGTAGGCCCTAAACCCTAAAGCCAGCCCAGAGTAGGCCTTAAACCCTATGACCAGCCCTGATGGCCATGCCTGGCCCCACCCCACCCCACCCTTGATCATCCCCCTCCGGAGAAGAGCTTGAATTTTCGGTGGAAAACCGCGAAACTTCGGTGGAAAACCGCGAAACTTCGGTGGAAAACCGCGAAACTTCGGTGGAAAACCGCGAAAGTTCGGTGCTAGTTTCTGGTGGAAAACCGCGAAAGTTCGGTGGAAAACCGCGCAGGCATGAGCCATTGAATATACATAGGTTAGAGAGTGTTTAGGGTTTAGGGTTTTGGCTTTTGGGTTTGGGGCCTATACTGAACTTGGGACCCTGGCAAAAACCGTATTTTACCTGTTTCTTAGGAGGTACGACAAAGATTTGAAAAAACAATTGCCAAGTATTCCAAAGGAAGTCCGCGATGGGCCACGTAGGGGATGGTGCAGCCCACAGTCCTCTTGCGCGCGCCGATGCGGCGCAGCACTGAGACGCGCACGTCCATGTTCCTTACTGTTGGTTCGTAGGGAAATGGGGGGAATTAGGTACCTATGTATATACATCTATATACCCTTATTATAGAGGGATCTATATACCCTTTAAGGGATTCTACCAGGGATGCCTCATTCCCCCTCAATCCCTAACCAACAGCCAGGCTCAGGGTGTCGAAGGCCTCGGCGTGCGAGGTCAGGAGCCCCCAGTCGCCCTTGGCGAGCCTTAGTTGTAAAGGTTAACCTTTGGGATTACAAGGGGATTCTATTACCCCATAAAGGTTCAAGGTTACCTTTAACCTAAACCCTAAACCCTAAACCCTAAACCCTAAACCCTAAACCCTAAACCCTAAACCCTAAACCCTAAACCCTAAACCCTAAACCCTAAACCCTAAACCCTAATACTACTAGGGAGCTGGGGCCGGCCGTTCACGCAACAGAGGTTGCCACCGCAGTCCGTGATCAGGCCATGCGTCTCCTTACTGTTGGTTCGTAGGAAATTGGCGGGGGAACTCGGTACCTCTATAACATACCCTTTAAAGGGATTATAAAGGGCACCTCTATACATACCCTTTAAGGGATTATATAGGGTACCTCTATAACATACCCTTTAAGGGATTATACAGGGTACCTCTATACATACCCTTAAAGGGATTAGATAGGGTACCTCTATACATACCCTTTAAGGGATTATATAGGGTACCTCTATACATACCCTTTAAGGGATTATATAGGGCACCTCCATACCTACCCTTTAAGGGATTATAGAGGGTACCCTCACATACCCTTTAAGGGAGAGGGGCACCCTTCATTCCCTCATTCCCTCATTCCCTCACTAACCCACCGCAAGTCTCCGGCACATCCGCGATGAAGTTCAGGATCTGCCTCTTGTAGGCCTGCTCGGCCGCCTCGCTCTTGCGCACGTCCCACCGGGAGATCGCATCCACCAGGGGCCCTGAGGAAACAGCCGCGGAGCCCACCATGCCCGTGGAGGTGTAGAGCTGGAGCTCTTTCCTAGTTCATGGCTGGGAGAATATTAAAAGTTTCAATGTATATTCCTTATTGGGTTTGTCTAAGTACCCTGAAGGATGTAAAAATGGTACCCAACTATGACAAAGTTTCTCCATGGTGATGGTGCAGTGCAGTTCCAAGCAGCACCAGCTGCGCGTTAAGGAGCCCGCATCGCGATCCACGATCAGAATCGTGGCATCGGCATTCATGATGGCGCGAGCGAACGGGGTGTCCATGATGCGCGAGCCGAAGTACTCACCGAACTGATTGTTGGCAAAGGTGCACACCCACAAGACCGTGCAGATGCTCAGGGCCCGGTCGGCCACGATCTGATCCACGGCCGCAATGAAATCGGCGAAGCGACCACCCCACCAGTGACTGATCATGAGGTGGGGCCTTTGGGGCTGGTCACCTCGGCTCGCCCCTAAACACCCTCTGAACTAATAGTCCTGATATGTGATCCTCTTAAACCCCTACAAGGGAAAATGGTCCTGATAGATGGTCCCCTTGAACCCAAGAAGGGAACATATTCTTGATATATGATCCCCTTAAACCCAATCAGGGAAAATGTTCCTGATATATGATCCTCTTAAACCCGATAAGGAGAAAATGCACAAATTGTCCCCAAAAAGGCCCGCCTAGTCACTGCCCTAAACCCTAAACCCTAAACCCCAAACCCTAAACCCTAAACCCTACACCCTAAACCCTAAACCCTAAACCCTAAACCCTAAACCCTAAACCCTAAACCCTAAACCCTAAACCCTAAACCCTAAACCCTAAACCCTACCTAGGCACAGACCAGCTCAGCCCAGGAGTAGCGCTTGGCCACCTCAGGGTCGGACTCGTCCATCTGCCACTGAAGGTCGTGGTAAGGGATGTACTTCCTTAATGTTGCTTAGCAGGGAATGTTTAGGGTTTAGGGTTTAGGGTTTAGGGTTCAGGGTTTAGGGTTTAGGGTTTAGGGTTTAGGGTTTAGGGTTTAGGGTTTCAGCTGGCTGGTTCTTAGCACGGAATGGGGGGACTCAGGGTACCCCCTATAGAATCCCTTAAAGGGTAGAATATAGGGCCCGAATTCCCCGCATTTTTCTGCTAGCCAACCAGCAAGCTTCTTGATCACCAGGTCGGTGATGTCGTAGAGGTCCAGGCTCTGCCACTCCAACCAGCGCCCCACCTCGCCCTCACCTACCTGAGGGTTTAGGGTTTATGGTTTTGGGTTTTGGGTCTAGGGTTTAGGATTCAGGGTTAACCTGAGTCTGGCCGCCATGACCGCAAAAAACCCGAGTCCTGCCCCCAACAACTAGGTAATCCCTTCCACCACCCCCCCCCCCCCCCCCGCCCCCCCCCCCCCCGCCCCCCCCCCCGCCCCCCCCCCCCCCCCCCGCCCCCCCCCCCCCCCCCCCCCCCCCATGAGAGTTGCATTGAAGTATACTTGGCTCTGTGTCGGCATAGAATGTCCATCCGAACTACGGGCAGGTCCCAGAGGTCTCCCTTCCCAATGCAGAGCTTCCTGCCAGAACACACCTCTAACACACCCCAGCCCCACCACCCCACCCAGAAACCTTCCCCCAATGTTTTTCCTTCAAGCTGCAGCGGGGCGGGTAAGGCATTTGGTCTTGCAGAGGCGCTTCAGGAAGATCGTGAGGTCCCAGAGTTGTCGCACCTGGAGACCTCGTTCGGCCACGTCGGGGATGAAGGTGCAGCGTCGCTCGGTGGACCATGGCACGGGCATGATTCCCGTGCGCGGCAAGGGGCCTTCAAAAGGGGGCAGCCTTCGTGGGTTCTCCTCTAGTTTATGAGCTCCTAAGTTGCTTGACGTCTTCTTGTACTTGTTGTACAGAGACTTGCAAAAGACACCATATCCTCTATCCTCCATACCTCCATACTGCAGGCCTTGCGGACTGCTTTTGCAAAACCAGGCTCGCACCTGTACTGACCTCCCTTTGGGAGAGGACGTGCGACTGGTCACTAAATAGTCACTAAATCCAAGAGCAGCGGCATCCCGAAGGCTTAGGGTTTAGGGTTTAGGGTTTAGGGTTTAGGGTTTAGGGGTTTAGGGGTTTAGGGTTTAAGAAGATCACTTGCAAATCAAGTTCAATCAAGTTCACTAGGTCTGATCTCCCCTCCAACTGAAGAGCCTCGCTCAAGGAGGGACATACCAACCCACGTCTAAGGCGGTAAGCCACTCTAAACCCAAAAATGGAGAGAGAGGATACTTGGGTCTCCAAGTGCTTCATGTGGCCCAGGGGCCCCGCCTTTTGGGGCCCAAAACCTAAACCCTAACCCCCAAACCCCAAACCCCAAACCTTTCTGGGGTTCAGGGTTTAAGCGCTTGAGGGTGCAGACTCAGAATCTATGACTTAGGGGTCAGGCTTTCAGGGTACACCCTAAACCCTAAACCCTGAACCCTGAACTGAACCCTAAACCCTAAACCCTAAAACCTAAACCCTAAACCCTAAACCCTAAACGCCTACGCATGAACCTCCCAGTAGGGGCCGAGGAAGCCCGAGGTTCCGAGCCCGCAGCCGGGCATCGAGATCCGCGCGGGCGCGAGGCCGGGCGCCGCCGGTGTCGGTTTCAGGTTGAGGGTTGAGGGTTTGGGGTTTAGGGTTTAGGGTTTAGGGTTTAGGGTTTAAGGTTTAGGGTTCAGGGTTCAGGGTTTAGGGTTTAGGGTTTAGGGTTTAGGGTTTAGGTTTAGGGTTTAGAGTTTAGGGTTTAGGGTTCAGGGTTCAGGGTTTAGGGTTTAGGGTTTCGCTTTTAGAGCAACCAGCTTATGGGGAAAGTGAGTGCTTGTGCCCGCTCGAGCCTAGCGGCCTTCCAAAAGAGCACAACAAGTTCGAACCAGTTCCCTGCTGGTGGCCCCGGGGTCTTTGTGACAGTTAAGACTAGCGAGAGAGGTTTGCTGGTGATCCTCGAGTAAATCATGCCTTTGTTTTTGTAGAACGATGCAGGCTGCATAGGCATCTCAAGTACCCACCGTCAATGGTCCTGAAGTGGGCCTTTTGCAGGGCAAGGGAATCGAGACCGTTGATCTGATGGCATGATAACCCTAAACCCTAGCCCTAAACCCTAAGTTTCGGGTTTGGAGCTTCTCAGGTTGTTGGCCCCCCAAAGGTTGTCATGTCGGGTTTTGGGGGAACTCCTTCAGGGTTTAGGGTTTAGGGTTGAGGGTTTAGGGTTTAAGGTTTAGGGTTTAGGGTTTAGGGTTGAGGGTTTAGGGTTTAGGGTTTAGGGTTTAGGGTTTCGGCAGTCTACATGCAGCCACAACACCCAACCCACTCTCGCCGCTGAATCACCCAAACCCCTCGCCAGACCTCCCCCCGAAGAGGTCGTCGGGAATGGGGGTACCCGTTGGGCTTTGGGGGAGAACCTTCTGCTCACAAGACAAGCCCAACTCCTCGGTGATGTTCGCATGGCCCTTGCGCCCATCGGCAAACAGTGCATGCATAGTCTAAACCCTAACCCCTAAACCCTAAACCCTAAACCCTAGGGCGTAGGGCTACAGGGGAGGTTGATATCAGAGATGTAAAAGCAAAGTAAGTCAGTCAACGAATACAGTCTAATCTTGTAGAGCAAAATAACACAATCCTAGAACATCATAACGCGGATTATCCCAGCGGCGCCATAGAACACACGACCACACAGCGCAGTCTACCGCATCCTCAATCCCCACCCCCTTGCTTTTAACCGCCGCGCTGGCACAAGGCATCCGGATCGCTCCCGGGGTCATCTCGGAGACCGCCGGGGCGCACCGCCGCTCAGCATGTAAGCTCATAAGCTTCGACCCTCTGAGGCATCCGTGGACTCGGCGATCCATTCCCTCACGAAGCGCCCACCCCCCCATGCGCGAGGCGGCCTTGCCGGCGCCGGCATCTCCGACGGCAGGAGGTGCGGAGGCATTGTGAGGGCTCCTGCATGGACGCCTGATCACAAGCCTGGCCGCGGAAGCATCTTCTCCTTGCGTTCTTGCAGGCCGGTTGCGCAGCCAGGCAGCTTGCCACGTCCCAAACGCTCAGTTCTCGCACGACGTTGAAGTCAAGCACCTTGGGCTGGGCAGCGTCCGCGAAATACACGCGCCGGGCTGCGGGCCACGAAGGCAGGCACAAGGACTCAGGATTCTGGGGGTTTGAGGTTTAGGGCTCAAGAGAGTTGAGCACTCTTGATCACTTTAAGCTTTAAGGCTTCAGGACTCTCCGAAATTCAGAAACCGTCGCGCTGTGGACTGCCAGTGATGCATCTGCAGCGCCTCTGCCAAAATGCGCGGCACACCCGCCAGAGATAGGAGAGCTTCGCATGTCTAAGAGGTTTGAATACCTGTCATCCCCAACAAAGACACTCGCTGCTGGGATTCAAGCCCCTGGATGGGTTTAGAACACGTGAGCCCAAGGGGTTTCCTGACAACAGCGCGCCACTTAGCTTTGAAGCCTCCGGCACAAAGCCCCAAACGGAAATTTTGAACATGTTCAGGCTTGCAGCCCCTCAAAAGTAGCGAGAGGTGTAGAGAAATGTGGAGCTTGCTCGTTTGCTTCATTACATCTAACCCTAAACCCTCAAAACTCACCTCCTGCTTCAGGGAGGATCGGCGGGCGTTCTTCAGCAGGATCGAGGCGTGTCGAGGCGCGCGAAAGGCTGGTAGAACCGGCTCTCGAAGACTCGCACGTCCGCGTCCCAGCCGCAGCGCCGGAGCCTTTGTGCCACCGGGCGCTCCCCGCCCCTGAGGCTCGGCAGCCAGGGGCAAAGCCTCGACCCTGAATGCAGCTTCAGTGGAGCTGTGCTCCTCTCGACTTCTCTGCCACAGCTACAAGGCCACCTGCACCCTGGAGCAAAGGGAGGGCTGCGGAGGCAGGACGGCGGACAAATGCGTGGTCGAGCTGTAGGCGTGGGTTTTTGGCCGGACCACCTTGTGGATCGAGGTCCCTAAAACTCCGTGAAACCCCAAGCGTCCCTGAACCCTAAGCCGCTGACCAGGGAAACGTCACCGGACCTTACCCTAAACCCTCGCCCTCTGAACTCTAAACACAAGGAAGGCCAACGGCGAAGCGAAGATCCATGCTCCGGTGATACAGGAACCTCGACCACCCGTGGCAAGAGCTCAGCCAGTATTCAGCATACCTGTGGTTTGCTTCTAGATGGTGATGGTTTAGGGTTTGGGGTGTGGTGGTTCGTGTGTAGTGTTTAGTGTTTAGGGTTTCGTGTTTAGGGTTTAGGGTTTTGGGTTTTGGGTTTAGGGTTTAGGATTTAGGGTTTAGGGTTTAGGGCTAGGGTGGGGAACGGCTAGGAGTTGTAGGAATTCAGGCTGGAAAGCTGTGGGGCCGTGGGCCCTGACCTCGCGTCAGGTGAGGTGGCGCCTGGCTCAAAGCAGTCCGCAGCCGAAAACCCCCACGTCCGCAAGATACTCTTGAACCCTCAACCCCTAAACCCTAAACCCTAAACCGTTCAAGAACTACGGAGTGCAATCACCGAACAAGCTAGCCCATGTCATCACACTGGGAAAGAGAAAGATTCTGAAGAGCAACCGCATCAGCATAGGGCCGGCGAACGAAGGAAGTAGAAGAGTTACCATGTGCGCGAGGATTAACATTCTTCGGCGTACAAAGTCCAGCATTTGAAACTTTAGCTTTGCCAACAATTCGCCGATGAGGAGCCGGCGTGCTCGCCAAAATCGAGGGGATACATCCTATCCATGGCCTGCTGGGGACCCGCGATTCAGAAATCTGCTGCCAAAGATTTCTGTCTTGAACAGCTGGGTTGATTCGCCGGAGGAGCTTATAGTGTTATTCTGAATAGCCTCCTCGCGGAAAGGCATCCTCCTCACGTTTGCCAACCTTGCAATGCCTCCTTGGAATGCCCTGCGGCTTGTTTGGTAAGCACCAATAGGTGCTCAGGAACAATAGGGGCTCAGGAACAATAGGGGCTCGGGAACCATCAGGCAATTCTCTCAGGAACTGTCAGTGCATTCTTTTTTGAGCCTTGTTCTCTACACAGCTCCAAACAGCTGGAACTCGTCGGAACCGTCGGAATTCTTTTCAAGTGAGCTACTGCAGACTTCATACTCGCGAAATCTAAGATGTTGTTCGAAGTCGACTCTGGAGTCGACTTGGAGTCGAGCGCTTGCAGGGGCTCTATCTGCCGTGTGAGAGTGCTATTGGTGCTTCTTCGCTTCGTAAATGAAGAGCGGCTGAAGCCGTAGGTCGAGAAGTGCAAGAAGGCAGGACCCAAGCATCACCCGCAATGGCCGCAATGGCCGCAATGGCCGCAATGGCCGCAATGGCCGCAATGGCCGCAATGGCCATGACCTGCATTGTACGAGGACTCTAAGGACTCCACGGCACTTCGCTCAAACTCACGCTCAAGCTGAGCACCGCTCCCCACTTCGTGCTCTAGGCTTTTGCACTTGCTCTGGGCTTACGGCGTCAGCGCCTCAGCTCGGTCTTCGAATCAGACTCGAGGTGCAGATCCACACCTTGGGACGACTTGGGACCCCAGGAGTTGAAGAAGATCTGCCTTCACCTTAAGTGCAATGCAGCGGCCTGACCCACCCTGCATGGCTTAACACCAAGACTTCGGGACTTCGGCTGCAACTTGCAGGCGGGGTGAGCTGTAGACGCCGCAAGCCTGGCATGGGGTTTTGGGTTTAGGGCGTTTAGGGTTTAAGGTTTAGGGCTTAGGGTTTAGGAGGTTTAGGGGTTAGGGTTTAGGGTCCCACCTGTAAGCTGGACCGCGTCCAGGAAA